CACACCTTCCCACATGTCCCCCACCATAACCCCTCACACACCCTACCCACCATACCACCCACTCCCCAACCACACACCCTGCACATACAATATACAAGAATAAGACTGTATTTTGAGTTATTCTGCAATTGCCTCTATATATACACACACTATGCAAACACACAAATCAGGACAAAAATATATTTTTAAATAAAATTAAAATAAGTTATAGTAGATGTTTGATATCTTTTTATAGTACATGATATTTTTTTCCAGTTTCAAGATGGCAACATCCCCCCCACCAGCAAAGGAGTACTTCCAAGGCAAGGGGAGGGACTTCCGGTGGCAAAGGTCTGGGGTTAGGGGCAGGACTTCTGGTCCCAAGATGGCGACCAGGGGGTGGGATGCCTATATCAAGGGGCAGAGCTACCCTTGTTGCCGTCAACAGCTCACCAAAACTCATTAAGTGGCCCTCCAGTCCAAATAACTGCCCACCCCTGGCTTGGACTCTGACCCTGGGATAACCCTAGCTCAGACATGGAGCAAGTGGCCATGACTGAAGAGATGTGATGTGCTCAGAAAGAGAAAGACGTTTTGGTTTTTATATTTTCTATAGGGCTACACAAAAAACATGGACTTAGTGGACACCAAATACATTAAAAACATTTTAATACTTACAAGCCTTCATAAATACATATATTTACCAGCTGGTAAATACACTAAGAGGGGGGATTAAAGTGTGTATTAACACCCTCCTTAATAAGGAAGTCAGACCCCCTAAATTTTCTTGAATTTATTAAGATACTGGGGATGAGGAGTCAGACCTCTTCAATGTGAACAGAGGTTATCTTTGGTATATCATGCTAGGGAAGCAGAACCAATAGGAATCTCTGATAAATAAGGCTTCCAATTCAAGTATAGGCACATATTAAAGTTAATATGTGGGAGCTCTTAATGTTAATCTTGAAGAATGAATCAGTTGTAAGCACAGTTCTTCTTAGGGCTAGTTAGACTTGTATTGCCTAATTTCAGATCCACTCAAACAGTGAGTAGAAAAGTTACACTCTGATGTTTCTATTTTCCTGACATTCCACTGGGAAGATACAATGAAAAAGGAGCAGAGAAAGAAAAAAATAATGCAACATATGGAATAGAGTGAAATGAGAGAAACATTCTAGTGCAAGAACAGATACAGTCCCAAACAAATAACATCAATACAAATATCACCCAGAGGGCACTCACTATGTTTAGGGACTCATTTATCCTGGATCTATATAGTGCAAGCCTTCATGTAGCTATGCTTTGTTTTTTCAATCGACTTGGGAAGGGAGGGAAAAACAGATTTGATGGACAGCAGTGGTTTTCAACCTTTTTTCCTTTGTGGGCACCTAAAAAAATGTCATACAGAGGTGAAGCCCTCATTGAATTGTAAATGTGGATATTGATTGACCATCGTCATATTTCATGGACCCGTTAGACAGTCTGTGGACACTCAACGGTCCACGGACCACAACTTGAGAACCACTGAAGTACAGGAAAGTGGCACAGGAATCAAGTCAGCTCCACCAGCCCTCAAAAAACAAGAATAAAGCTCACGAAACCTGGAATTCCACATGGCTCATGCTGCCCTGGTTCCTACGCTCTGAAGCAAGGCATGAAATGTATTCTGTGAGAAAAGAAGCCTCCTAAATACCATCTCCCCTGATGTATTAGGCTGAGGTTCTGCCCTCTTGAAAAACTCAGTACTTCCAGTTTTTAGCCAACAAATTGTTAAATTATGGCTGCAAAACCAATGAATAAATCACCTTAATCTGTAGAAACTCTGGTGACACATACAATAAGTCTAACTAACTCTTTACAATTTACAAATCAGTTTCATTTTTTTAACAACACTGTGCAACTTCAAAAGGAAAAGGGACTTGTGTTAGACCTTCATAAAAACTCTGTGGAGTGTGAAGCAGCATTTATGCAAAAAAGGCATGACAAAAGACAGCCACAGCCAGTAGGATGACGCCATTGATGTTCACAACATTTCTCCATAGTGGCACCTCCGAAGTGTCCGTCAGTTTCTTCTGCATTGCTTCCTCCTCTTCCTTGCTCATTTTGGGCCCTTTTTGCTGATCTAAACCACAGAACCAGTTGTAGGCCTTCTTCATGCATCCCTGCTCTTCATCACCTCCTTCTGCAACTGAAAAAATATGTTAAGAAATGCAGTGTGTGGACCCATAAAACTGGCAAAAAAAACCAAGTTCTCAGCGACAGAGTATTCTTTGGAGCTACTCCTATTTGAAATTATATCCCTAATTTGCAGTCTGAATTACGCAGAAGTGCTGTAGGAGGAGTGTGTGTGTGTGAGAGAGAGAGAGAGAATGTCAGCTTGGAGGGGTGGGGGGGCTGTGAATGAGATTTCACAGTAGAGCTGCAAAGTGAATGATTTCTGATCATTGAATGGCAATGCAACCAGCCAGTTATTATGAAGCCTGGAGACCTGCTGTTTTTCAGTTCATTCATTGTTTGTTCTCAAGTAGCAGTGCTATAGCTCACAAACACTAAAAATCATGTTCTGTCAATTAATGCCCATTATAAATATTTAAACAGGGGCTGAAAAGTGTTGGATACACACTCTTTGGGCCACACTACCCCAATCCATCACCACTGGATACCCAGTGCTGCTCCAGGGTGAAGGAGAAAGGAGGCAGCTGTGGGAAGCCACCTGCACCTCCTTGATTCAAGGCGATACAGGGTAAGCCTTAACTTACACCCGTGAAGATTTGGCACAGCAAAGCCCCGCTCCTGCACAGCTGTTTTCCTTCCTCACCATACGTCTTGACTCCAGTCTTGCCCTCACCATGTCTTGACCCCCTCCTGATCTCTGCCTTCTCCACTCCTCTGCTGTCAGAGACCCTTTATGCAAGGGAAAGTCTCCACCAGCTATACCTAGCTCTCTGTGGTCACTTACTCTGCTTTTACAACACAAGATGGCCTTAGCAGACTAGAGAGTCTTAGTCTGGTACCAGTCCCTCAGACGCTTGACAAAGGGCAGGATTAATCCCCTTTTTTCCTTCTCCAAATACTATTTATTAAAAAGACAAAGGGCTGGATCCTGTGCTGCTTTTGGAGCACTGCCAGGAGCTAGGCAGAAAGCAGGTGGCTTTGTACAGGTGGAGATCTAGCGGTACACTGTCATCCTGTCCTGCATCACCTTTGCTGTTCCACTCCTCCTCACATCTGCCAAGTGCACCTTTTTCTGTCCAATTAGGTCAAAGGCTTATACATAACTCTGCCAACACACATCACTCCTGTCTTGGAACAACCTTGTTAGCTCTGGGCCTCTCATAAGGGAAATGCAGAAAGAGCAGCTGAAAACTGGTTTCAATTCTGATCCACATAAATCTGATGAACTAGGGAAAAATTAATGCACGACCTAACTGTAGGAGTCTACCAAGCCCTTTGGCTTCTGTGTTTTCAAGAAGTCCAGAGTACTTCACTGCTTTTTCAGGAATGAAATGGGGATTTCAAATACACTGCTGGCCTTTTTAGGCCTTGTAACAGACTTGTATTCAGAAGTTACCTGACATTTCATCTTCGCTAGGATTGTCCTTCTTCTCATCTGCATCCAGGTCGATACGTTCCTCCTTGCTGTTCCTCAGAGTCCAGCACAAGCGGTAGAGCTGCCATAAAATAGATCAGGTTTGAAGAGCTGCAATCTCAGACCACTGTGACCAGGAAGCCTGGACCAGCACAGCGAGCAGGCAGACCGCAAGCTTGTGAACATCTGGTAAGTCACTTTCAGGAATTGGAGAGTGTGGAAGACTGAGGACAGATGCTGTGAATAACTGTTCCTTTTCCCTTTTTAAGGGATCTTTGCTCCCACCAGCCAAAATGCTCCACCCACTCTTCGCAATTCTGAGGGGTAAGTTCCCACATCTGACATTTTATTTTATTTATTTTACTGTATAATATCTTCAAGCTGTTTCTGACTACAGATATGTCTCTGGCATTTCCAGAATACCGTTCTTCTCACAGAAAGAGCTACATTTCCCCAATAAATCTGGAGCAAAATGCGGGCAAGCTTCTTTGGGTAGATGTGATGTGTTATCTTTTATCAACATATCTGGAGCAAAATGTGATCTGGGGAAGATACCACAGTTCTCTCAATCCATACAGCTGGGAAGAGATTATATAATTTTTGTGGTCTAACATTTAGAATATTTTTGTTAATGCTCATTTTAAGTATAATTTGTAAACAATGACTTCATTGGCCATTAGTGTCTTGGGGACCACAGTGGGAGCGATACTCACATGCACATCCGGAATGGGCTTTGTAATCAGGGAGACCCCCAGAATGATGATGATGGATATCCCAAACAGGATCATGGCAAAGTAAAGATAGTGAATTCCACAAATGATATATGGACAGACGCTGGGGTTTATACAACTGCCAGTTCCATAGCCAAACTCCGTAAGCATCCGAGCCAGTCCAATCACCAGCCCAATGACCAAGCCCCAAAAGGCTCCCTGTAGATCAAAGTGACAGGGAGAGTTATCAGAAAGAGTTACTGTGGGTTTGGAAATACAGCGTCTCCCTCCAGTTCTTAATAGCAGTATAAAATATATTTCTGGCAGTGACTATGTGAACAACCTACAGCACCAAAAGGTTAAGAACAGACAGAACTGGATAATCCTTGTTGTCCACAACCAGACCAATGATTAAATAAGTTCCTGACATTAGTGTCCACAGTCCAAGCCTTTTAACTCAAGAGACTAACCAAAAGCGTCTGAAATGATTAAAATGATTTTCCTGGGTTCAGGAATACTGTATTTTTCCAATTACACGTCAGTCCTGCATCTACAGCAACTCCATGTGTTCAGCTATTTTTTTTTTTTTTTTTTAAGGAAATGCATCTTTTCCTCTGAACGTAAGTTGATAACTAGAGATGAAGACCTTGACCTGCTATTTTATTTATTTATTAAATTGATACGCTGCCCTTCTCAAAAAGGCTCAAGCCAGCTGATGTTAAAAGAGACAAAGTCTTATAGAAACAAAATAAAGTATTAATAAAAGAACAAACAAATTCCCCCCCACCCAAAGAAGAAAGCTACATTCAGAAGCAAACCACCTCATGTCTCCCCCCGCCCCCCCGTTCTCTTGCCTCCGAGTAGTGTGTCCTCCCCTTCCCTTAATCTCCTTTCCCAACCCACAGTCAACAAAAACATGAATTTCCCCCCACCATTATTCCCTAACACTGTCCCT